CAGGAAGGGAGAGCTGGGCAAGGACTCCTGCAGGGGACCTTGACTTAACTTCTCCTGGGAAGTTCTAGCTAGGTGGGGCTGCTGCTAACGAGCTCTCTGGGCTGCCCTGGTCAGAGGGAGTTGGGGCTTTTGTTTCAGGTGGCTCCTGATTGGGTGGGTCAAGCACCCTTGTGAGTCACTGCTAGGCAGAGGCCTATATAAGAGCCAGGCCTAGAGCGCAGCTCCCAGAGCGCAGCCAACAGAGGCAGCGAACAGACGCAGCAGTTTGCGCAGCAGTGTCTGGGCTCTGCCTGGGCCTTTTGTGGGCCTTGTTGGAAGTTGTGGAGACTTTCTGGGGACCCCCGAGGAACTAGACGGTGCTTGCTGCTAGCAGGAAGGGAGAGCTGGGCAAGGACTCCTGCAGGGGACCTTGACTTAACTTCTCCTGGGAAGTTCTAGCTAGGTGGGGCTGCTGCTAACGAGCTCTCTGGGCTGCCCTGGTCAGAGGGAGTTGGGGCTTTTGTTTCAGGTGGCTCCTGATTGGGTGGGTCAAGCACCCTTGTGAGTCACTGCTAGGCAGAGGCCTATATAAGAGCCAGGCCTAGAGCGCAGCTCCCAGAGCGCAGCCAACAGAGGCAGCGAACAGACGCAGCAGTTTGCGCAGCAGTGTCTGGGCTCTGCCTGGGCCTTTTGTGGGCCTTGTTGGAAGTTGTGGAGACTTTCTGGGGACCCCCGAGGAACTAGACGGTGCTTGCTGCTAGCAGGAAGGGAGAGCTGGGCAAGGACTCCTGCAGGGGACCTTGACTTAACTTCTCCTGGGAAGTTCTAGCTAGGTGGGGCTGCTGCTAACGAGCTCTCTGGGCTGCCCTGGTCAGAGGGAGTTGGGGCTTTTGTTTCAGGTGGCTCCTGATTGGGTGGGTCAAGCACCCTTGTGAGTCACTGCTAGGCAGAGGCCTATATAAGAGCCAGGCCTAGAGCGCAGCTCCCAGAGCGCAGCCAACAGAGGCAGCGAACAGACGCAGCAGTTTGCGCAGCAGTGTCTGGGCTCTGCCTGGGCCTTTTGTGGGCCTTGTTGGAAGTTGTGGAGACTTTCTGGGGACCCCCGAGGAACTAGACGGTGCTTGCTGCTAGCAGGAAGGGAGAGCTGGGCAAGGACTCCTGCAGGGGACCTTGACTTAACTTCTCCTGGGAAGTTCTAGCTAGGTGGGGCTGCTGCTAACGAGCTCTCTGGGCTGCCCTGGTCAGAGGGAGTTGGGGCTTTTGTTTCAGGTGGCTCCTGATTGGGTGGGTCAAGCACCCTTGTGAGTCACTGCTAGGCAGAGGCCTATATAAGAGCCAGGCCTAGAGCGCAGCTCCCAGAGCGCAGCCAACAGAGGCAGCGAACAGACGCAGCAGTTTGCGCAGCAGTGTCTGGGCTCTGCCTGGGCCTTTTGTGGGCCTTGTTGGAAGTTGTGGAGACTTTCTGGGGACCCCCGAGGAACTAGACGGTGCTTGCTGCTAGCAGGAAGGGAGAGCTGGGCAAGGACTCCTGCAGGGGACCTTGACTTAACTTCTCCTGGGAAGTTCTAGCTAGGTGGGGCTGCTGCTAACGAGCTCTCTGGGCTGCCCTGGTCAGAGGGAGTTGGGGCTTTTGTTTCAGGTGGCTCCTGATTGGGTGGGTCAAGCACCCTTGTGAGTCACTGCTAGGCAGAGGCCTATATAAGAGCCAGGCCTAGAGCGCAGCTCCCAGAGCGCAGCCAACAGAGGCAGCGAACAGACGCAGCAGTTTGCGCAGCAGTGTCTGGGCTCTGCCTGGGCCTTTTGTGGGCCTTGTTGGAAGTTGTGGAGACTTTCTGGGGACCCCCGAGGAACTAGACGGTGCTTGCTGCTAGCAGGAAGGGAGAGCTGGGCAAGGACTCCTGCAGGGGACCTTGACTTAACTTCTCCTGGGAAGTTCTAGCTAGGTGGGGCTGCTGCTAACGAGCTCTCTGGGCTGCCCTGGTCAGAGGGAGTTGGGGCTTTTGTTTCAGGTGGCTCCTGATTGGGTGGGTCAAGCACCCTTGTGAGTCACTGCTAGGCAGAGGCCTATATAAGAGCCAGGCCTAGAGCGCAGCTCCCAGAGCGCAGCCAACAGAGGCAGCGAACAGACGCAGCAGTTTGCGCAGCAGTGTCTGGGCTCTGCCTGGGCCTTTTGTGGGCCTTGTTGGAAGTTGTGGAGACTTTCTGGGGACCCCCGAGGAACTAGACGGTGCTTGCTGCTAGCAGGAAGGGAGAGCTGGGCAAGGACTCCTGCAGGGGACCTTGACTTAACTTCTCCTGGGAAGTTCTAGCTAGGTGGGGCTGCTGCTAACGAGCTCTCTGGGCTGCCCTGGTCAGAGGGAGTTGGGGCTTTTGTTTCAGGTGGCTCCTGATTGGGTGGGTCAAGCACCCTTGTGAGTCACTGCTAGGCAGAGGCCTATATAAGAGCCAGGCCTAGAGCGCAGCTCCCAGAGCGCAGCCAACAGAGGCAGCGAACAGACGCAGCAGTTTGCGCAGCAGTGTCTGGGCTCTGCCTGGGCCTTTTGTGGGCCTTGTTGGAAGTTGTGGAGACTTTCTGGGGACCCCCGAGGAACTAGACGGTGCTTGCTGCTAGCAGGAAGGGAGAGCTGGGCAAGGACTCCTGCAGGGGACCTTGACTTAACTTCTCCTGGGAAGTTCTAGCTTGAAGAAAGATTGCAAGAGCTGGGCCTGTTCAGCCTGGAGAAGAGAAGATTGAGAGGGGATCTCATCAACGTGTACAAGTATCTGAAGGGGGAGTGTCAAGAGGATGAGGCCAGCCTCTTCTCCGTGGTGCCCAGCAACAGGACAAGAGGCAATGGGCAGAAACTGAACCACAGGAAGTTCCATCTGAACCTGAGAAAAAACTTCTTCACTGTGAGGGTGACAGAGCATTGGAACAGGTTGCCCAGAGAGGTGGTGGAGTCTCCTTCGCTGGAGATATTCAAAACCCGTCTGGATGTGATCCTGGGCAATATGCTCTAGGTGACCCTGCTTGAGCAGGGAGGTTGGACGAGATGATCTCCAGAGGTCCCTTCCAACCTAAACGATTCTGTGATTCTGTGATCTCCCTAATTTCAGTTGGATGCCAGTACATTCATCCACAAGCAGAAATTGGCATTGTGTTGTAGCAGTGTAACTTGCTCTCATACTCTGGCAGTAATACTGAATGCTGAGAGGATAATTCCTGTTAGGACTCTTTTTTTAAAATCATACCTGAGATTCTAGGTAGGTTAGGCTAGTTTTTCATCTACATGTTATGGCCCAATTGCAAGTATGAGCAATATATTTCAAAACATGCTTGTTCCTTTTTCTTCTAGAGACACAGTCCTTCCTTCATCTGACTAACAAAAATCTGTTTCCATGTATAGAAGTGCTACAGGATAAATCATGAAAGTACTGGAAGTGGGCTATGCTTAAGTAAATGATTGTCACTAAAAGTTGCCCAAAGAATGACTTTGGAAATTACCTATCTAACAGAATTTTGCTACCCTAAAACCATTTAAATGCATCCATTCTATTTTTGTAATATATGTGTGTACACTGTTGTATTGTAAAAGTATTTACGTAGGCTAAGACTTCCCTTATCAGCTTCAGTCGTTCAGTCATCTAATTTGACTGACCAAGAAAGCTACCGACTCAAACCCAAGAATAGCTATCAGTGTTTTGCAATTTGACTGCACAATATTTTCTATCAGTAATCTGGAAATAAATTTTGCAGTCCTTCACCTGTCCTTAGACTCAAGCTTAACTAAAGTGTTGCTTGTCAAGGTTGCTTGTTAGAATCTAAGGTACTGCTCCCCATTGGCATAAAACTTGAGTACTTCATATCAAAACAATAAAAAAGTGTGGCACTTTAGATGTTCTTTACCGTCTCATCTTCTCAGACATCAGGCATGCCTTGTAGCTGCTGGCATGGATCTGTATTCCTCATGGTGGTCTCTGGGTGGTGGCGATAGCAGCAGAAACTGCTAACAAGAGTTTGAAAATTTCTTCCTGTTTGATACTGCTGTGAAACTGGGTAGCTGATACACATTACAGTAGGCACGAGGCCTGTGGTAGATCCTGTTCCAAAAGTCACTTCTGCAACTATGAAATCTTCACTTCTCTTGTGAAAGTAAAAAATGGTAATTTGGCTCCAAATCAGGTAGGTAATGAATATAGACATTGACCTAGCAATTAAGGAGGTAAATACTAAACGTTCCTGAGGTCTGACTAGATTTAAAGAGATTTTATACAACTCTCTGAAGAGTAACTGGAGCTGGCTATGATATTGCACAAATTATGGGAATCATGAGGTTTCATTTTTCCATAAATTACACTAAAAACAGTCCCATTATAGTTAGGAGAGGTTTTGTCTTCAGTTGTATGCATGAAACTGCTGCGGGAACCATATATCTGAAAACTGAATTTCAGCCTAGAGAAAATCATGAGATTTTGGCATTAATGTCTTCAGCACTTGTAAAGTTGGTTCATTTCCTTTCTTTGATCAGTTTTCCAATTTACCAACAGCAAGTTCAGGGACCAATAACAGTGTAAGAACTTGGCTCCATTCAGTGAGTGTTTGCCAAAGGTTATCAATGGGCTTATACAGTGAAGACTGCACTGGAGCCAGCTGATACATGCTATTTGGTTTAAAGCTGATTCACCTCTGCATAAGTTTCTGTCATACCAATGTGCTGCAATTTAGGCACGTTGTTGCCTTCTTTTCTGTTTCTTTAGACTCTGTCTTCCCCTCTTGTAGCTTCCCTTTAATAGCTTGCTAACAATATGGAGAGTATATATTCTTTTATCTTTTTACTGCCAATGTAAATGTAGGCCACAAATGTACTGCTGTATATTTGCATTACCTGTGATTTCTTTGGGTTGTTCTATAGCACAAAAATGCTTTAAAAAACAAAAAAAAGAAAGAAAAAAGGCAGAAAGAAGCCTAATACTGCAAAACCTAGAGCTGAGACTCTTGTAGCCATAAAAATCAACACTTTTTTTTTTTCCTCTCTCCGTAGCATTCTGACTCCAACTGTAACCTGAAGAAGCGAGTAAACTCTGTAACGTCTCAAGCAGATCAGTCTTCTGGACCCAGCATGATATCAGATATTGCATCCCAGTGTCAACCAATGTCTGCTGCTCCACCAGCCCCGCCACCACCACCACCACCACCTATTGGAGGGACAAGTAAAATTGATCAATATTCTAGGATCCTCTTTCCAGTGGCATTTGCAGGATTCAACCTGGTATACTGGGTTGTTTACCTTTCAAAAGACACTATGGAAGTGAGTAGTAGAATTTTACAGTACTCAATTGTAATACGTTCAGTGGGCCAACCTTCCTTTAGTTGTTCATTTAATCTTGCAAGTCCAGTTAATCAGTTCTTTGTGAGGAAAGGGATTGATATTACCTTTCTGTAAAAATCAGCTGTAACTTCCAGTAATAATGGCACTCTGAATACAATGCCGAAAGGCTATTTGAAGCTGAGAAAAGTGAACACTTAATTCTATGTTATATGGCACTGAGTAGAACACAGACAGTTGTGTAAGGTAGTATTTAACACCGTTCTCAGCAAATATATAAAGGCTGTATCTTCCATTTCTTAATCTTCCTTTCTGTGGTAAGGAATGGTAGAGTATTTGTTGAAGCAATGCAGTGAAAGAGATAAGAGCCTTAATCTCTCCTAAGACTTCCTAATGAGGTAATAAGATAACAATCTCCAGAAAAACATTGCATATACATTCTAAATATTTATCAGTAGTGCAGACAATTGTCTGCACTCGCAGTATGCCCTTGAGATACAGATCTTTGATAGAGTCGAGAGTTCCTGTTTTTATACATTTTAACACGGACTTTTCCTGTTCCTTCCATATAACTGAACTATCTTATGCAGACAGAGCTGCTGAATTCTTTGCTTAAATTTGTTTGAATCAGGCAGTGAGATATCTTGTCTTTAGATTTGCATGAGGTCCAGAAGAGATGTGTACCCTACAAAATGAGCATGCTTAGAATAATCAGTCAGTGATTAGCTTTTTTTTCAAGCAGTCATTAAACTTAAAGTCTCTAATGCTTTGATTTCCTAATTTTTTCCTTTCACATCAATACAGCTAATGGTGTCCCATTTCATTGATACAAAATATATTCATTTGCCTTTTGCCATAGAGTTTCTGAACCTCACTATACTTTGCAGTCAATGTGATTGATACACTTAGCTTTATTTAGGACGGCTAGAGAGATAATGACAGTACTTAGACAGTAGTGAATGCACAGAGTCCATATATTAATAATAACAGAGGCTTGCAATCTGGTATGAGTGATGTGCAGATTATATCTTTATTTCCTAGATTAGAGGTAAGGCAGGCCAAGGGAAATCTCATGGAGAGCCAGGAGGAGTTGCAGTTCAAAGTAGCAAGACAGTGTTGATAGCTGATTGGTGGCATCTTGCCTCTGCTTGAAGCAGAGGCTACTAGCTGCTAATTTTGCTGATCTCTGCTACTAGTACAATCTGGAAAATGCTGTCTCTCAAAGAGGGAGCGTGCTGCCAAGCAGCTTATACGAAATCAGGAGGGCAGGAAGATAGGAGGCACTGTCTCTTACAAATGTTCCTGCAGATGTCTCTCTCAAGAGGTCACAGCTGCTGCTAACTCCTGGCCACTCAAAATCTGTCCAGTGCTAAATTTAGCATTTGTGCCAGAGATACTGATCCCTCTATTAAAATATTGACTATGTGTGCACATCACTTGTCACAATCAAGAGAAGTATCAAAAAAGCTCATGTATAATAATTACAGTTTCTGGTAGCACTCTGTATAGAGGCCACTTCCTCAGCTTGTGTAGCTTGCCATAACTCCAGTGATTTCATTCAACCATTAACGTTTTGAATATAGAAATATTTGGAACGTGGTTGCCATTTTCCCTTGGTAGCTATGAAATATTTATACTGAACAGTGTATATTAATAGTTATGTTAGAACTAGCCTTTTGAAATACTTCTGAAAACTAGGCCATAGTACTGACTGTAAATACTTTTATAACATACCACTTCTGCAAGCTCACAAACCTGCTCAAGATTCAGAAATTACTTTCTATAGTAGCCTCACAGAATGACAGCAAACCAGCAGCAAGGTTTAGAAAGCAGAATAATATTGGCAGCTGGGGTATTTCAAACGATGAAGAATGTAAACAATTATGTAAAGTGTTGCTCAAACTCTTCTTCATAAATTATATTTTCCTGTTTACTCAATAGTAATGATTGTGATGTACATTGCTAGGTTTCTAATTCAATATATTGTGTCATTTTACCAGTTGTTACTTTCAAAGAAAACTAGAATTGTTTTTGCTTTAAAAATATGTATAAAAGTATGTTACCCTTTCCATTCAAGCAGAGGAGATACAGAAGTTAGACGAGCAAACCATGACATGCTTAAAGGCCAGTTCAACTCAATCACAGGCCCAGGCCAAAACATTTAAGTATTGGTACAACATTACTCATAGCTATGAGACTTTATTTTGTGAAGAAGGTGCGTTTTATGCAGTATTTCTGCATAATATTAGCTTTTTTTTGGAGTTACTAATTTGAGTTAATTTGGATTTTGTTTTAAAAAGACAAAACAAAACAGCAATAGAAATCTAATCAGTTTGTTGAAATAATCAAGTTCCCTGTGCGCAGGTTCTTGTAGTCCAGCTGTCCAGGATTTCGATTAGTGTAGTTTGGAACGTGCTTAAGTTCCTTGCAGAACATCATTCACTTTAAACAAGTGTTGCTTGATTGGGGTCCATCTACTGACCCTGATCTTAGATACACAAGAGAAAACCTGATCTCCTCAGGAAGCTCTGTACAGCAAACAGAAGACTGCGCTCTAGAGAGCGCGTTTCTCTGACTGTGTAAGCGGCTGAAAGAGACTACCCTGCTCCCTTCAGTATTTGCCTGTGGTGTCAAGTTTGTCCTTTTGGAGATTCCTAAAATGAACAGCTACTTGCTGCCTTTGGATGGCACATACCAAATAAAGCAAGAAGCTTTTTTCCAATCTATCTGCGTTGTCCTGTCTGTAGAAGCAAGAGATTAGCATTGGAGTCCTAGCTCATTCCAACGTAGATCGTTATTTTCTGGCCAGGCTCTTCCTTTCACTTCAAAGGAAGCGCAAAATGGTTTTTTTTTTTTTTTTTACTTTGTGTTCTGAATTCGGAACATCAGCTGGAACGAGCAGCTTTGCTAAAGTTAATGTAACGACACAGAGCTGCATTAGATGAGGAGCGGTCCCCTAAGCTGTTTGATGGTATTTCTGCACGTTACTAAAAGCAGTTTTCTTAAAGCTCAAGCAATAGGCAATGTGTTACAGGAATGAAGAAGTCATTCTTGTGTAGTGTGTCTGATAGTATTTGTAAAACACTGATTTGTTAAGAGTACTTTTCAAGTGCAATCCCTCTGCCACCCCTTTAGTCATTTGCTGATCAGATTACTTCAGGTTAGTCACCCTTTCTCGTATCGTACATGTAAACTAAGAGTTTACACAGAAATTCTAGGATTTGGATGTCTGTATACCGAAGAAGGCGTTTCTTCTGAAACATACACCTTTACACATTGAATGCTGTTTTTTAAAGCAGCCAAGTTGGGCAAATAGCAAGAGTAGCTTTCACTGTACTCTGTATTTTTATATGTGCTGAACCAAATTCAACTCAGCAAATTAGGAAGTTCAGTAGTAAACTTTCCTTTAAAGAAATTCCCCTTTTGTTACATTTTTAAGCAAAATAGCATTCTTTGAAAAGGACAGAAAAAATTTGCAAATTGAAGTTAAGTGCATCAATTAAATTTTTTTTTTATAATAGAGGAGATAAGATAAAGTTCTCTTCTGGCCTTCATGTTTAAATAAATGGTTCTCTCTCTCCCATAGGGTGTCTGGGAGAGCATTCTTATTCAGTAGCAGTCCACCATGCACCTTGATACTTGAAAGGTGTTTCAACGGAAAAATTGGTTTGCGTTTTGGAGTAATGATAGTGTTGCAGGGCAATGGTTATATTGGCAAACCTATAGAAATGAGGCTAATATAATTCTTTGCATGCATTTTGCTAGACAGCATGTTGTTAGAGCCTCATTTAACTGAGGGAAGACATAAAAGAAGAAAGAAGAAATAAATTTGAAAATGTTTATATAAAATAATCCCCAGTTGAAATAACAGATGCCAGTTTTTAGACCACAGAAAATGCTGATACTCATACTGTAAGCCTCTCTTTCTCAAAAGGTTTTATAACTGAAATGCTGACAGATGTTTAACTATAGCAGCATGGATGTACTATTTATAATATGAAAAAAAAAAAAACCAAAGCATTAAAATTATTCTAAAAGGACTTACTCCCTTATGACATAAAGGTCAGTTAGTAATTAATTTAGATAGAAAGTATGAGAATGTGAGATCCCCATGATTTGTACATGGAAAACATAATCTTGCCAGGCATGTTTCCGTGATGCATGTTCTTCCATAAAGCACAGTAATGCCCAACATCCACAAAAAGCTCTGCAAAGTAACAAACGACGCATGTTTGTATAGATTAGCCAAATAAAACAGTACTTCAAAGGAGAACAATACCTCACAAATGAGAAAAAGTTATTTTAATTTTTTTGTTATACGTGTATTTTTTTTAAACCTTACTAAGGCCTTGAACTGAATACTAATTTATGACAGTGATTTTGATAGGTGAATTGCATGCTTGGTTCATTTTAATAAGTGTAAAATTTGCTTCACTTAGCATGTAAATAATACCCTTTTAACGAGAAAAATACAGGTACCCAGCCTACCTTTGCCATGTCATTCACAGTGCACATGCTCTTCATGCATTTTCTGACATGCCTCCTTTCTAAAGCAGCCAGTACCAATTTTTTATATAGAACATTATATTACAGGTTTTGTGTAATAAAACATGAACTAGTGTCTGTATGGAGTGAATCAGACTAAAGAAGGAGATGATTTAAAAGTTCTAAAGATAATCTGCAGGAAAACATTACAAGCAGAGACATCAACTTTTATCCTTGAGGCAGGGAAGAAGGTAAAAAGTCATTGAATGTGCTAAATGTGCTGAGCATTTAGCTTCAGTATGTTCACATTCATAAGCTTGCAAATCATATGAGAGAGTAAAGTTCAGGAGAAAATAGAGTCATTGGAATACCTACTTACAATTGAGCTTGATGATCCAGGCAATGAACATTACTTTAGGTTTTGAGAAGACTCTCCCTTGTAATGCATTTCTATTTTAAACCTGCAGGGACAGCTAAAAAAATCAGTGTCAGGTGAGGTGGGTTTGCTGATTAACTACATTGTTGACAACCTGGAATTTAAACTTCTCTCTGAACTTTTCTTCCAGTTTTTTGAACCAACTGCAATGCATCTTCGAAATGATCATCAGTCCAACTGAAGAACAGCTGAGGGTTTCAAAAAAAACACAGAAGGTTTTGTAGAATTTAAGTGACTTCAAAGGATGTGTCTATTCACAGGTGCTCTAATTGTCAAACAGGGAATACTTATATTGATCATCACCTGGAAACAAACTCTGGACAACTCAGTAAGATAGAAGTTGCACAGAATTCTAAATATACTTTCTTACAATTTCTTACATTGATTCTACTATAAAAGCTTTTGTTATTTGGTTGAATGGTCAAAGCATAAGAATGTGTATTTGTCCTGTTTGTCCTATTGTAAATGATTGAATGTTTACATTGACACACACCACCAATAACAGGATTATTTCTCTTAACGTAGTTAGGTTGCTAAAGCAAGCCAGATTCTAAACTAACATCAGGAGCTGCAGTGATTTATATCGGTTGAAATTGGCCTAAGATAACATTACAGAATCCCATGAAAGGGAGCTGCAATCCCATCATGTTTTCATCTCCTTTAAAATTGGAAGTAACATTCGTAAAGAACACAATATAAAGAAAGAAAAAGAAATTATTAGTTATGAACTTTAGCTGGTTAATTATGATGCTGTAACTTTTTTTCTGTTGGGAGTGACAGTGGAAATAAAATCAAACCAATAACGAGCAATTTTGGGACAGAATCTGGGAGTGGCAGGACTGATACCGGGAAGTTTTCAAGATCCAGACCTAATGGAGAGAAGCAGCAGCAGCTACCCATCAAGCTAAATGCAAGCCTGTCGCTCCAAGAAACTTCTGGAAGCAAGTCACCATAGCTAGTTAGGGAACTAGCTGCATTTTATCAGCTGATTGTACTGGACTGTCCATAGCAAACTACCTAGAAATTTTTGCACAAGCAAAGTACTTCCAGGAAATTCAGAGTTTAAAGGTGTTAATATTCTGATTTATTTCTGACTCACCACAAAGCTGATACAGCTACAGGATTTCTCTTTCATATTTCATAGTTGTCTATCATTGTATTGTATATTCATTCTTCATTTCCATAATCCTTATTAAGAATGTAATTAGGTAAGATATGCCTAACCAAATCAAACCCAGGCCTTCTTTGTTGCAGGCATAATGGATGCTGGTGGGAGTCAAAAGCACACAAGCAAATGTTGCAAGCAGCCAAATATAAATTAAGGACTCAAATCCTGAAATTAATTCTGGTACATCAAAACTGAATTTATTTTAAGAGAAAAATGAAATGCTGCATTGATTCAGGAAATTCAGGGCCTTTTGCTTTTTCTAAACCAACATCTTAGTCACTATGAAAAAATATTTAGGGTCTCGCTGATTGCAGTAAGTTAGAGAGGTCTGTTGGCACTGAAACAATTTTAACTTTCTAAGGACCTAGTTCCAGCTGTTTTTCTCCTCCTGTTTCAAGAGAGGCACATAGCTTTTACTAGTGTAATAACTGGATTGCTGCTTGATCACATACCAGACCACTTTTCAAACTCCCTGTTCTTTACCTTGGTAGAGCTTAGATATAGGCAATTTAAGTACACTTGAATAAATAAGAACAGTCTACACAGAGACAAATACGCAGTTTGTTTTTCCCCTGGTAGCAGAGTGGCACACTTGGATGTATTTGTACGTGCCCCGAATTCTGTCTTCAGTTTACTTTAAAAACAAAATTGTGAAAATGTTTCCCATTTTCAGCCTTCATATACTATTTTTAAAAAATTAAAACATGGACCCTATGCAAACTTACATTTTATAAAATGTATTTGCATATTATTTTGCAAAAAGCAAATTGTTTTAGGAACACAGGTTACTTTACGGTGTAACTATACTTATTTTTGCTTCACAGAATTACTTTCTATTTTGAATATGTTAATATAATATATATCAGAATATATTTTCAGAATCCTTTAAATTTTTTTTTTTTTTGCACAAAATGAAAGCGTTTAAAACTTGTGGGAAAAAAAATTGAAGCAGAGTTTTGTATTGAATCTTCTTTGTCTAAAGAGAAATCAGTATGAGTTTTAGAGTAAATCTGGAGAACTACTGAATAGTCAATTTTCGTTGCAGTGCAGTATTTAAATGTATAAAATAAGAGTAACTGCCTAATTAATAGGATATATCAGCACTTTAAAAATGTACTAGCAGCTCTTGGTATGTGACATCGTGTTTCAACATAACCACAAAGACTGCTTACCTTGTTTCAAAGGAGGACAAGTTAGAGAAGAGTTGGTTCTCCCCATCTGTTTGAATATTAGTAAAAGAACGTTTATTTTTGCTATTAAATGCTTTGTAGAGACACAGGTATGATCAGTGATAATGTTAATAATGTCAAGTTGTATCTCAGAATAAATATAATTACTTGCTATTAATGTCAGTTCTTAACAAGCCTGGTTATGGTCCAACACTAACCAAACAAGCAATACAGTGAAGAAGAACAGATAAACAGAAAGGTTGATATGTGTGTATTTATTTGTATGTATATTTGTATACATTTTATAGAATATATGAATAATGTATATTTAATACAAAATTATAGGAAGTTAAGGCATGTGAGGTTTTCCAGCATTTTTGAGCATATGCCTAGGAAGAGCAGGAACTAGAGTAGCTGTAAGCTGGGATTTTGTATGTGCGAAACAGGACATGGGGAGAAGGCTAGCTGTTACCTTGAGCTATCACACTGCTAATATATTATTCAGCATCAACCTAACTTTATGCTTATCCTAGTAGGAAGTTTTCAGCTCACAAACCTTCAAAGAGACAGTGTGGCTTGAACTCATCTTTAGTATGTTCTGCTTGATCAGAAGTGGGAGAAACAGAAGATCTAAGGACCCCCCAGTTACAGAATTATATCTCAGATACAGTGGAAACCTCAATTACATGTTAATCTCCACTGTTATTGTTTGTCTGGAGAGTTCTGGGTATTTCTTCATGATTTCTAAACCAAATAAAAATCCAGCATTTAAGATGTATAATCTCTGTAATGGTGCACTAGATCAGCCCCGAGGTCATCCAAAACTGTGTTCAAAGAGCAGTCTTGCCAGAAGCTAATGCAAGCAGTGTATAAATCCTTGAAATATGAATGTGAAGATGAAAATATTGAATACTCGTTACCAGTACAGCTTGATATCCGATACTGTCCAGGATTTTGATGCATTTTGTCAAGTTACTAGCTCACGGGCTTTGTTATTATTATGCATACATAAACAAAATTCAGATGCAACTTTGTCATTGCTTGATTTCATTACATTTTTGTTTCTCTTTCACATCATGACAAGAGCATTCCTCATCTGCTTTCTCTATAGCAGTTGTTCTTGCAGGATTCCCCTGTAGTCAGTAAACAATCAGAGCCTTTCAGCTCTGTTCAAAGGCTGTCCATCAGCTGGCCCTGTGAAGGCAAAAGTTCTTATCCACAAGCAGAACTGGTAGAGACTTGGGGAGAATAAACTATTCCATTCTGCATCACTTCTTCAGCAGAATCATTCCTAAATTCTGAGCCATGATGCCGAGGGTGGTGGTTCTGAGGCTGGAGTGGTGATTACGTAAAAGGAATAAAGATCCACACTTCATTTCCAGATAGCGGTTTGATATGATTGTGATAGCAGTTGAGTGCCAGCACAGTATACTGGATGTAGATGTTACTGACAAAGCATGAATGAGACTCGGCCACACTTCTGATTATATCTGAGACGTCCTAAAAGAGAAGGGTTGTCCAAGACAAAAAAAATTCAAAAAAAACCCTCAAAGCATGCAAACAGTAGTACACTAACAAACAGACACATCTTGAGTGTCCCTGGTTTACAAGTACCTTTTGTGAGTTCTGTCCAGAAACAAAATATACACAATCTTTCAAACACAGAGGAGGAAATAATCCTAACACATATGTATTTAATATAGTTACATACAATTAGGACATCACAAGTCATTGCAGAAATTCATAAAGTGTTTAAGCTGCATTTTTGCTAAATCAAAACAAAAGCTTTGCAACTTCTCTGGGTTATCAGATTAATATTTTTACAAAGAGATCATTAGTTCATGAAAACATGATCTAACCTCAGTTATGACTGGACTGTTTTTTTGTTCTATGATTCAGAGTAAACTTCAATAGTTTTAAGGCACTAAATTCTTTACATGCCTTAAGAGCAAATAAGCATTCTTTGGGCCATATGAAATTCAAGCAAAGGTTTCTTTCCTTCACCCCACACCTGCTTTGTTACAGTAAAATTTTCGTGGAGTGGATAGAAATGATTTGGAATTAATAAAATTGTCAATCTAAAAGCCTTTACTGTGATTTAACACCTACCGTTCATTTAAATAAATCAACATTTACTGTAACTGAATGCCAGCTTTGCTATGATTAACATTAGAAAAGTCAACTTCTAGCAGTAGCCATTTCCTAAAGACTGCAAAAGCTGTGTGCCTACTTAGACTATCTGAGAACATGTTCCTGAACAGAGATATGGGGAATGGTTAAAAGACTGGGAAGCAGGTTTTGGGTCACAGAGTCTGCCTGTGCAAAACATCATAGTAAGAGACAAATACTAAAGCTCAAACCATGCCTTTTAGTGCCTGCTGCCCCTCTCTTCCTGCTTACCAAGTGACTCAGTTATTTAAGACAATGCAGATGACTTGTGATCTCAGTGGGAAAATGATTTTAGAGAATCATTAGTTCCTTAAATTAATCTGTGGGAAAGTAGGATTGTGATGCTGACATAGACTAGAAATGATTTGAAACAGAATAAAGTTTTGAATTTCACTGAATTGAACTTTTTTAAAAAGGCAGAAATATCTTTGCTTTGTATGAACAAATAGATGCTTTTTGGCCAATAAATGTAATCAATGTGTATTCTCAATTTTAATAAGCTATAAATTCCTCAGGGGTTAAAACCTGACATACTCTTTTTTTATACTCACACACATTTTAGATGAGTTAAAACTCGTTTCCCTTCTGATCCGTTCTTCACATAAGAAAACTATGTTAATTGCTTGGCATGAGAAGTCTACTTGCAACTCAAACCTATTTGAAGGAGAAATGATTTATTTTTATCAGTTTTAAGTTTTACCCAAATACATTTTATTTAAGAACTCTCACTTGTTTCAGACAGACTTTTGTGAACTAAAAAAAATCTAATCGGGCAGGGACCTTGTAGTACTGTGCAGTAAACAATTATCTGAACAACTAAAGTTTATAAATTGTTCCTAAGTTACTCCAGATCAGCTACACAGCCTCAAAAGAGTAATGGGATAAGTATTAATAAAGAGTAATTTCATAACTTTATGAATACATGCGTGAGAAACCCGGAGTGCAGCCTCTGTATTACCTTCTGATCTATTGGGTTGATTCCTGTGCTACATACTGCCAAGAGCAGACTTTCTCTTTTGTTAATTAACTTAATTCAAAGCATAAAAAAAGAAAACATAAATGCAAGAGTGAAAAAACAATACATTAAAGCTATGGTGTCACTGAACATCTTGCATTTGGCGGAGAGAGGTTGTATTCTAAAAGCTAAGGTTGCATGTCTAGGTCATTTATTGTGTCCTGGAATAGCAAAAGCTTGTGAACAAAATTGTGCAAGTTGTGTATGGTGTCTTCCATCAGCAAAGGAGATCCCAGTAATAGCAGCCAGGGCTCAAAACAGGGACTGAGGGCAAGGTAAGGTGATTACCTTACCTTTGCATCCATCTGTAAAAGGCAGGCCTAGCATGGAGAATCAATACATTTAACGTTACCTATTGGGTTTCTGAATCTTACTTCATTTAGTAGGTTTTTTGTTTTTTTTTTTTTTTTAAGGTAGGGTTTATTTCAGGTAGTAAATTGCTGAATAAAAATTCCCAGGTAGGGGGAGACCTGAATAACACTGTCAATCTGGTCTCCATAAAACAGTTCAAAACACTTCAAGCAGCAACCATCGTACTCCTGTTTTCAAATGGTTGCTTCCTAATCCAAGGAATCTACCAGCACATCCCCGCTCTAGCCTTGTCTTAGAAATCGTTCTGACAATTGTCACTTCAAGTACAGTTACTGCATCTGTCAAAAAAGTCCTTCTCTGCTAGACAAGTTGGACCGAGCCTTGCTGGTAAAAGTCGGTGTACCTATCTGACATACGGAGTCAGACTTTATGCTTTTATAAACTAAACTTAATTCAAGCAGAATTTTAAATCAATATGAAAAAGTAGTAAGTTCTGTCCTTGCTACTTTTAAGGTTTTATTCTGATCTTACTTCCAGTACCGTAAAAGTGGAGTAATCCTGCTGAAGCTGATTCAGTGAGACCAAAATGAAACAAATTAACTGACATTGTAATTGGCACCATACTTAAGAGTGTTTTAAATATCATTTTTAAACCTATGTGATAGCTCAGTTGTAAATGGTACTATATTGCCTAAATCTAATGTGGAACAACCTATTACAAAAGTTATGTAAATCAATTTACCATAAACTGAAATGCCTAAGACCACCAGCTAAAGAAAATGAAAGAGTATCTACAACTTTCAGTAGTTACATGAATTAAGGTAAATGTGTCTTTAAAAGCTATGCTTAGGAATTCCTGCTATTACCGTTCATTTTTTAAAGAATGAAAACAAAAAGCAAACCAGCCTTTATGTGCCCCTATGGAGGCAACAGGAGGAGATTATCATAGTGAATAACAAACCAACCCCGAAGGATACAGGAATTTACAAGCCAAAGAGACCAGTGATGCCTTTGTAAGAA